CGGTGCACAATACAAGTGGGATGGGCACGTAGTATTTTTGGAATACGGTAGGCGCGAGATGTATGTAATATATATGTATGCAAGTGGGGCTGCTGTCGGCTACTATGGTATCGCGAGAATTGAGGGAATTCGTAAACCAGGGGTAGTGTAAGCAATTCAGGGAGTGGGGGGGGGCGAGGTTGAAGGCAGACACTTGACATGAGGAAAAACTGGAATGTGTGAGTTACATACTTTATGTCTCGTCATGTCATACTAGCAGGCATCAGTCTCCACTTTCATACACTTCGCGCCTACAGTAGTCGAAAAATTCGGCGTGCCCACTTGTATTGCACCGTTCAATTTCTCAAAGCCATCCAGGCATCTTATCCATCAAGGTTTACAGTATAGTGCCTCGAAGAGGATTTTCAGAGGGCTCAGACATGGTGTGGCTCCCACATACTTTTGTCACGACATAATGAGTTCCTGGGTAAGCTGAAGGCACGGCACATCCCGAAACAGCTGATCGGGAGTAGGGAGGAGGGAGTTTTTTTCTGCATTCTTAACAACACTTATGTATCCTGTGACCAGTTTTCGACTAACTGTGTGCAAAGCAGAGTAAAGTGCTGTGAAAACAATTTTGTCTGGAATTATCCAAGTATTCAAGCCCATTCAAACTGTATCATACACTGCGTTGCAAAAATATAAATCCACCTGGAAAGTTCTTGAAATTCGCATGATAGGGTGTTTCTGAAAAAGCCTTTGAAAGAAAAATGTGCTCAATATAAATATAATTTCGAGTGTAAACACCAACTTCCATTTCGAAAACACGAAAATTTTTTATTTTCATTTTTCAGAAAAGGGCCACTTTGCCGATTGTGCAAAAATATAAATCCACCCCATGTTTCTCGGTTGAACTTCATTGTTATTTGGCGTAACTGTCAGGTTGTTTCCACTTCCTCTTTCTTAGGTGATGACGGAAGTAACACCGCTATCGGACTCGAAAAAAAAGGCGAAATCTGCAAAAGAGTGGGGAGATTTGCCATGCAGACAAACCGCGCGTGATTTGAGCCCCGCTTATGTGGTTGTTGAGCATTTCGTCAAGAATCCTGCAGCATGTGGAATCCAGAAGAGCACTGAACCCTTTTCTTCGCGTTTCGGTTGCGATGACCGTAGTGTTATGGGAAAAGCAGCCGATCTCTCCAAGGGGTGCTCAGGAACTCAACCTTTAAAACCTAATTTCTTGAAAGTCACCGGTTTAGCGTGTGTTAGAGGAACTCTGAGACCACTGTTCAACGGAAAATGAGTAGGACACATTTAAAAATCCTGGAATCATCGCAAAAATCAAGCCAAGTTTCCCAAGATCAGTGGTCGATCTGGCCGGAGCGAGGCCATATTGGCCGCGCAGTACCTTTTGATGGCTGTCTTCACTTTTCTTACTGGTTTCCTTTTTCATATGAGTTCCTGTCTCTGCCAAACACACTGCAGAAAAAAACTGAGAGAAATTCAGACAGACAGTAAAAAGTAGCGTGTAGAAAGCCGAACTTAATGCAGCTGGCGCAGCATGCACACATTATGGAAGAGTTGGCTTGATTTTTGGGATGGCTTTGTGTCTTCAACTGTGCCATACTCATTTTCCGTCGAAGAGTGGTCTCAGAGTTTTTCTAAGAGTGGTCTCAGAGTTCTTTCTAACACACGCCAAACGGTGTCTTTCAAAAAATTAGGTTTTTTTGAAGGTTGAGTTCCTGAGCACCCCTTGGGAGAATCGGCTGCTTTTCCCATAACACTACGGTCATCGCAACCGAAACGCGAAGAAAAGGGTTCAGTGCTCTTCTGGATTCCACATGCTGCAGGATTCTTGACGAAATGCTCAACAACCACGCATAAGCGGGGCTCAAATCACGCGCGGTTTGTCTGCATGGCAAATCTCCCCACTCTTTTGCAGATTTCGCCTTTTTTTCGGAGTCCGATAGCGGTGTTACTTCCGTCATCACCTAAGAAAGAGGAAGTGGAAACAACCTGACAGTTACGCCAAATAACAATGAAAGTTCAACCGAGAAACATGGGGTGGATTTATATTTTTGCACAATCGGCAAAGTGGCCCTTTTCTGAAAAATGAAAATAAAAAATTTTCGTGTTTTTCGAAATGGAAGTTGGTGTTTACACTCGAAATTATATTTATATTGAGCACATTTTTCTTTCAAAGGCTTTTTCAGAAACACCCTATCATGCGAATTTTCAAGAACTTTCCAGGTGGATTTATATTTTTGCAACGCAGTGTATATTATTTTCCCACCCTTAAACGTTGAGTAGCGTCCTTGTGTTTATATTCGCTAAGGAGCGTAATAGAGGGAAATTAGATTTCAGAAATTTTGCAAAGGTAAGTAAGGGTCGGTTTTAGCCATCGGGTCGTACTAACGACTGAGGGACTCCCGAGAATTTCCAGCTCATACCACTAATTTCACTGATTTTGGAAGAAATCTTCCTATTCTTCTATAAAATTCCTCAGAATTCCCAAAGATTCCAAAAAACCTGGCATCAAGAAACGGCGGATCAATGACTGGGGAGGTTTGATTTCTCATTAATTGCCTAAAATTTTTAATTTATTTTTCTTTTTTGCCGCGCGTTATAGTGTGCGGCTAACTGGATACAAATTTAAGCATCAATTGAAATTATTTTAGATCACAGAACTGGAAGAAGATGAATCGCGCTAAGCAGGCATCGAAATGAAGAGAAGATTTCCCACGGGGGAATTTTAAAAAGCAGATACATACATATGTCAACAAAATGCAGAGTAGGAGGATTCTGTGGGCCCAAGTGAAGCTGCAATCAAACAGAAATGTATTCAGGTATCCCTTAAATCACTATTTATGATAGAAGTCGGTGGGCGTAGCGCTAGCTAGGGGAAGCGCTACTACTAGGCAGGTACGAATCTCGCACGAAGTCGAATCGAAATTTCGGAAAGAAAGCGGTAAAAGCTTAAAAGTTATTAACCTAGCTTGGACGATTGACCGACACTTGACATCCGTGCGGCCTTATTTAGCGCGAATCGAACCACATGATCATCCTAAAATTCATGCTGACTCTGGGATGAGAAGTTTGAAGGCGGGTATGGCCGATTCAGATGTTAATTGGCGGTAATCTTTGCAACAGATTCGGGGGCACCTATCGGCCAATCCTGGAGGGATGGATGGCTGGTGCACCTGGGAGAGGTTAGATCTAAGATTTGACCCCAGCATCGGGAACAAGCAAATTGGCGCCATTTGCCAGTACTCCATTTCCACCTCATGAACACTTATGAGATTTTAATGAAAACCTAGAGCACTTGAACAGCTATGGCCGTTTTTTGCATATTCAAAAGCCTCAATTAATAATGATAAATCACAAACCTTCTTCATAGCCGTAAATTGCCCGAACGAATTTCTTTGCTTTGTCATAGACAATATCAAGTCGACAAAGGAAATTCAGCGCAAACAAAATAGTGAACAGCGGTGAAATCACGTAAGAAAGTTCCTAAAATATCAGAGCGCTAAAATGTCTCACCAACCACATATAAAACTCATATTTATAGTAGTAACAGGTAAGCACACTCAAAAACTGTAAGCGAACCCTTCTGAAGAGAAGCATGTAGATGTCGTTAGTGTTGCCGACATCAGCGACAGCAAGATCGACAAGACTGAAGGCGAGAAAGCACAGGCATATCAGTCCATGCAGTGAGACGAGGAACGAACATGTCCGTGAATTTTCACGAAGTTGAAATCGATGCGAAAGGGTGTACCTAAACTGACATATATTGAAACCTGTATTGGCTTCAAGATGAAAAGAGCGCCATGAAGCCTCCTACTCACCGACTTCTCTCGCTCGTCACAGACTCGACCTCGTGGCGTTGATTTTTCTGAAAAGGACACAAGATCACCAAAATCATAAAAAGCGTCAAAATGTGGAGAAAAATAAAAACGCCGTTATGCTAGCACGTTAAAATAAAGTGTTTTTTTTACTATTCATTCAACTAAATTTTGGTGGAAGATATTCCTCAGAACAGCCACACGTTTTATACCACATGTGTCTGCGTTCTTTTCATTGCTTGGAAATGTTTTTTCTTCACTTTATCTACGAAACGTCATAGCTCGGCTCCAGAAAGTCCTGGAGACCGGGAAAAAAGTGGTCAGAGTCCGGCAACGGAGGGAGGTCAACACTATTGGTGGGCGGAGCATGCACCAATGTGGGTGGGGTTATCGACGAAACATTACGACTAGGTCCCAAGATGTCCCGGAGACCGGAAAAAAGGTGGAAAAAGTACGACAACGAAAGGGAGGTCGGAAGGGTGGGTGGGAGCGCGGAGCGAGGTGGGCGAACATTGCCAGAAAGCCTTACAAAAATATTGATGGCCCTGTTTCAATACTACTGCAGCCCCGTGTGATGCACGCGAATGCGTGCGCAGCTAAACTGGTTTCTCATGAAAGCTCACAGATAAAATGAATAAATATGAATCAATAATAGGAAAATCCAAGTATCGAAGAAAAAAGTAGATTGCTGCAATACATACCGTGGTTAGCCCTCGAAGCATCACAGGTGAAAATGAGATTGAGTTGAGATGAGATAACCAAAAACTTCGTGAGAGGGCGATGTTTTTTTTTTTTTTGTTGTTTGTCTTCGCGATTTTCTTACTCGCACGATGCACTGACGATTGAGCCGCGTGAGCGGAGCCGCCCCCTAAACTAGCCAAAAACAATTGCTGGCATCCCTGAAACAGCCATTTTAGGTAAATTACTTGAAAGCCACCAGTGAGCACAATTATAACGAAGCTTTTTAGCAGCCAACTCTCAGATTGATTTTGTATTTGTTAAGAATGAATTTGGACTTCCGTATCGTTTTTAGTTTTTGCAGGTGCAGCAGTTCAGCTCAACCGGGGTTTCCTGCTTGTAGAGTAGCAATTACCCAAACGTCGCTTGAACAGGTTAACGCGTTGAAGTGAATAGGGTCAATACGCTTCAAAGAAATGGAAAGATTGTAGCTTGAAGCTATCTTTAGAAAGGTTTTCCTGATGTCCATTATATCCACAACTGTTTGGTAGAAGTGAACCGAAACAGCTATCAGAGTCACTAGCCTGGGTGGCTTTTGTTTCCTCTGACTCAATTCGGACGCTCTAACTCCTCTCTGGAATGCCACTTCTTCTTCACATGGCTAAGCCCAGTTCTATTCCTTTCGAATAATTGACGAACGAACTGGGGTTGGTTGGGGATACTTTTCTTTTTTAATTAATCTCTGCAATTCAGTAGGTTTAGTCCTAGGATGGAAATCGGGAGATTTCGTTCACGCAATTCCGTTGGAGCGAAGACTTCTTCACCGACGAACTGTCTGATTATGGGCGCAGAAGTTCCCGTATCGGCAGATCTGAAAACTCCTCCAGACTTGAGGGCAAGTGTGGCCAATATTTACACTTCCTGTCTCAGTATCCTGCTAAGCGCGGCTATACTCCTCTGTAACTCGCTTCCACCAAGTTTTTTTTTTTAATTTAGCGAACTGGTCCTACTCCGTTCTTCGGATTCCGATTGCAGAGGCGAGTTCTCTTGAAATGATAAGACTGTTAGTACATTACCTATTGCTCATCCCCATTTATTTTGATGCTATCGGTGCATCACTTTGCTCAGGTTTCTGTGTGAAATAGCTTATAGCGTGCAATGTTGTTCTTTCTAGCGCTGAGCCGAACAACTCGAATCGCTTCGAGTTGACTTGGTTACAGTTAAGAAGATCTTTCCTCGACAAACTAGTCCAGAGCGAGAGAGCCCTTCGCTCGTCTTGAACACCGAAATCCGTCTGACTACTTTGGCCGAAATGTATCCGCGGTTAATAGCCCTGCCTCATGGGACGACAAGATCCCGTCAAATCTTTGTTACAGTGCACGCATCTTATAACAGACCACTCTGATCCCTACACTAAATCGTCTTTGTCGACGTAATCCTCAAAAAAGCGACATCCGCGACCTTTAATAGCGCGATAAGTGGGGTCAAACAAGAACCTCCGAGTCAGGGACCATAAAGGTGGCAAACACGATATCCAGAAAAAGCAGTGCATCACAATTATTGTGTCAAATTTAAATGAAACCGTGGGGTATTAGAAAAGAGGCAGCTCCTTGCAGGTCTCTGAGAACTGTACAAAATCATAATTAGTATGGAAAAGCCTACAAAACTCACAAATATCATGCAGAGTCGCATCATTCCCGATGGAAAGTGAAACGTCTCATAACCGCGTACTTTCTCGGTGGCAATCGAGCGTTCAATGACGACAATCAAAGGAAACACGATGAACAAGACGCAGAAACACGTGGGTACAACGTCCACAAAGAGGCAAATGGACGAGCCGTCAGGTTCCTGGAAATAGGGATTCTTTATGACTGCACCCTTCGAATTTTCTGAAATGTCCAAGCTCTTTTATAATGAAACCTCAAGACAAGCTATGTCAATTAATGTAAAGCCTCTGATTGGCCAAAACTATGTCCCAGAGTTCTGGAACAATTCTCATTTTATTTCCACTTATGAAGTTTTTCCCCAGATAGTCGAAAAATGTTGCAATTGACTCCATTTGAAGCCCCAATGGGTCGCCAAACCACAGGGAAAGTGCAGGGGTATAAAACATCCGACGATGATCACTTCGTTCCCTTGAGTGCGCCATGCATTCTAGAGCTGTTAAGAAAAAGCAGAGCAGCTTGGTGATGATTTGGAGATGTTGCGGTATGTTGTCCTGGCTCAGAATATGGGCTCTTCATCCTCGCTAGCTTGCTATAAGCCTTCTAATCTAACCCAGGTAGACCACGTGGAGGTTTCCTCATTATGAGATTCAGCCCCCTAAGAGAGCTAGGAAGGAAACGGTATACGATTGGATTGGCGAAGTATTTGTAAAAGGGCGAGCAAAATTTCGTTGTGATTTAGGGAGTTTATATGATGATCCATTGATAGTCGAGACGTTATCGCGAACATCTACGAATTTTTGGGAGGTTCACAGAAGTTTTGGAATTTTTTTTGAGCTGCCAACACCCCTCATAGGTTGAATTTCGAGGAAAGCCAGGTATAGCTCCAAGCTGAAGGATGGGGACAGGACTTTTGGAAAGTAAGTTGTGAGCTCCACACGTGACCAGTCGTATTAACTTGTGAAAGGGTCGCTATAGCCATTTTCTCGCCACACGTGGTTCGCCCCGATATTCA